GTTGACAGCTATTGTAAAAATCCCTGCTTAATACAGCATTGAGCTAAAATGATGTTAAATAGAAATTGGAATCTGATCATCTAACACTATTTATTTTAAGACAAACATTGCTCTTGAGTGTCCATTTACTTCAAAAACTAAAACCTATCCAACCCTTTCTTTTCTCTTGTGTTCACCTTCCATGTAAGCCAACATACATCCATATATGTATTTCAAGCAAGAAACAAACCTACAAGCACATAGATGTTCAAGATACAGATCAAATCAACAAACGATACCAGTCAGAGTACTACTGATGTATCAAGTTTATCAACCGTGGATGGAGTAACTTGAAGTGACTAACAATTTTGATACATTGATAAACGGGAAGGTTATGAAAACTGAACGAGAATCAACTAAGGAATATTGTCTTGACTAACCTGTAAATTCTCAATTAACTTTCATAGTCTTGTGTAGCAATCAGTACAAAGAATTAAAATTTTGAGCTTTGGAGTGAAAGAGAAAAGACTGTTTCAGGTGATGATAATTTCTTGATACTCCTTTAGTTTTGCTTTGTTGTATGATCTTTATCAGTTCTTCAAGTCTTTATTGCACATTTTCCATCCCATGGAATTTTTTGCACTCGTTAATATTTGCTTGGTTAGTCTCCTTTCTTTAGTTCTTGATTTTCAGCTGGTTGCACAGGGGTCGAGTCTAACGGTTTTGTAGGCTGTAGATGAGAAGGGAAAAGTGAAAACATGAAAATAAATTCAACATTTATGCATCATACAAGGGTCAATTCAATGGGTGTATTTATAATATAGATACATATGAGTCTTGCAAGAGTTCTTTGCAAATAAACCCATTGTCATCCTAATGATCAATATTTGATTCCAAGCCTGTGGAACTGTCAGATCACTTTCTTGTCCTCTCCATTGGGAACCTCTATCAATTTACAAAAGGTGACATGGATCACACAGCGTGGGTGAAACCTCTCATCAAAATGCTTGTGAAGATTTCAACAGAGTTGATAAGAGTCACTGGGAAAGTGTGAGAGTTTCAGGCCACAAGAGCAAAAGTTTGAGCTCATGGCTACTCTTAATATCTGTTTATATGCAGCTCAATGTTATCAAAGAGGCTGTGATGTGACATGTGACCTAATGAAAGATTAAAGAACCACTGACATATTGAGGGAGCTTTTAGGATTAACTCTTCAGAAAAAAACATGGCTCAACTCCTCTATTTCAGCTTGTGCCAGAATCCACAATATCAGCAAAGGATTTTCCATTTTGGCATGAAATTGTTTTCTCACCCTTAGGTTGTGCATGACTTTTTTTGGTGGGCAATAGCTTCTACAACATTTTTTTTAACATCAAAACTAGGACCTGTATAGTAGGAAGCACTTGCTCAATTTTTTTTCCATGGCTCCCCTTACACAATTTTTTTTCAGCCATTTTTGCCATGCAAGACTTTTTCCTTGTCCAACCCACTCTCTCTCCATCAAAAATTAATGTTCCATCCCTAAGCCAGAACTCTTGTCTGTTCTATCATCCTACCTGTGTTTCACCATCTTTACCATGCCCAGCCCAGAAAGGCCTACCCCAAGGAGGCCTCCGAAATGGTGGCCCATGAGGACCATGCCAGTTGAACTGGTGTCGACAGTTTGAATATCCAGCACCTAGACCTATGCCAATCCCTAATGTCACAGGCCAGGCAGCTCCTTAAAGAAAATAACAAAGGTATTGGTCTTCAACAGGAGGTAAAGGACATGCTGAAAAAATCTGTGCAAGAGTGTTCTAAAATCTTCTTGAACCCATCCACAATACGTGAGAAAATTAGGTTAGCAACTACATTACACACGGACCCTGCACAGATGCAAAAATCATATTGTATACAGTAACGTTTATAACTCATGAAGTTCCACCCCCCTGTTAGCATTCTCGAAGCTGAGCTTCCCTGGGCCTAACATGTGTGCAGTTCCCGGCGGGGAGGGGGGAGGGTACTCCCTTATATGGGCTATATAGGTATGTGCAACCCCAAAGCGTATGGTTTTTCAGCTGTTTTGGTCATAAATAGGGTATCGATTTTAGCTGATTTTGGCCATTCTGGTCATAAATAGGGTATGGTTTTTGCACTCTAGCCTTGATATGGGTATGTTTTTATGACGAAGCTACTTTTTCATCGTTATCAAAAAGAAAATCAACAAAAGCCCTTCACAAATTATGTTTACGGTACTTTAACATTGGTCTGAACTAGGGAACTAATTATCACCCAGGTCTGAAACAGGGTTTTGGTTAAGGAGTTAGGTCATGAATAGGGTTCGAATTTTTGGTCCGGTCATAAATAGGGTAGGGCATTTCGCAGATTTTGGTTTGGTCCTAAATAGGGTAAGGGTTTTGGGAAGTGGGCCGCACACCCCCACCCCCCAGGATACAGTTCTTCCAATTATAAATTACACCTTATTCTTTAGGCATTTGAGCAGAAAAGAAAAAAAATACAGGTTTTCTCTATTATTTATCATAATGAAAAGTACTTCAGTAAGCCACTGAAAACTGCTTATAACTATTGCTTTTGCATTTGGGGAGCAATAACCTTGTACTAGTTTGTCAATATCATCGCGCGCGCAAAGCCATTCTTGAAAATAAAAATTTCAAAAATATTTAGATAAATAATAATAATAATACCACAACACACACAGAACCTATGAAAAAAGTATTCCTGGTAGCACGTGTTGTAATTTGTGTCCTACTAATAGCATGGAAGTTTACCAGCTTATTGCAAGTGTACTGTACAAAATTGAGCTTACTTTTGAAAAACACAAGTGAAAATATGCTGCCAAAAACAGCTCCGCCAACTGCGAATGAAGTAAATAATAACAATTTAGAAAAATAAATCGGTAACATCTTTTATGGATTATTCAGAGCCAAAATACCAGTTTTAAATGTCGTGTCCACAAAGCACCGATCCCATTTTCTTCCCAATTCTTCTTCGCTGGGCCTTCTCGGCGCCATTTTGAA